TAACATCGATTTAGGGTCAGATGATATGCTACAAGAGAAGGGGTCCAAAACAATGGGGAATCCATGGGCTGAAGTGCTCTTGGAACAATTATATATGCTTACTACCAACAATCTAGTAATCTTTAAAAAGACAAGCATTTTTAACGGGGCAATGTAATCACCACAATTGCTATTATTATTTTATCTTTTGCTAACAGAGTAAATACTTTTTAACTATGCTGTTGCCTAGTTAGCACAATATTCTCCGATATGATCGATTTACTACGAAAGGCACTATAGAGTAATAGTGCAGGGCACACTTTTGGATCCGTTCGGACTCAAATATTGGCCCTGACCTTATTCGTCCTGTGATCTGGGCCAGTTCGTCCCTTTTTACCTCGGTTTCTATTTTGTAAATATTAATACTAGTAAATAGGTGAAACTGGCATCTACCTCGTTGAGTTTTCCAGGATGATTTCAGATTTATTTGATAAAGAAATGTAAGTGTTTATAACAAACACCTAGGGTGGGCGGGCCGAGATGCTAAGCACTGATGCAGTATGTGCATGGGTTATGATTGCATTCCTGTGATGATGATTCAGTAGCTTTCGTGATCACGATGCAGCATGTCCCGAGGACTAGTTAAGATATATTTGCGAGTGGGTCAGGAGCATCCTGACTTGGGGGCACCACTTCTCCAGAAGCCTGCATCACCTGGGCCCTTCAGGGCCGCGCCAGGCTGCCGCGGGCTGGGGCATGGCGCCGGGTTCCCTTTCCTGCCTGCGACGTCCCCCTTGTGCGCATGCACAGTTCCAGAGCACTGGCCTCAGATTCTATTTCAGGGAGGCGGCCGGAGTTTTGGGGATGCACCCTGAGGCCCCGCGGCGGTGGCAGCAGCGGCTGAGGCGCTGTGAGAGGAAGAGCCCTGGCCTCCAGCTCCCTTTATAATTATGGGGTCAGAGATCTGGCCACGGTTTTCTTCTACATGCTGGTGGCGATCATTATTCACGCCACCATTCAGGAGTATGTGCTAGGTAGAATCAACAGGCAAATGCAGTTTCTCAAAACGAAACAGAGCAAATTCAATGAATGTGGGCAGCTCGGTGTATTTTATCTTGTCTCATATTTGGGGCGCACTCATTCTAGTCTCTGAAAACTACGTTTCAGACACGTTTGTCGTGTGAAGGGCTCATCCCCACAGCATGATGACGTTTCAAATGAAGTTCTTCTACATCTCCCAGTTGGCTTACTGGCTCCATGCTTTTCCGGAACTCTACTTCCAGAGAAACAAAAAGCAAGACCTTCCTCACCTGATCATCTACTTCTGCCTCCACCTCTTTCACATTGCTGGCGCTTACCTTTTGTACTTGGATCACCTGGGACTGGTCCTTTTGGCGATGTATTACTTCGTGGAGCTCCTCTCGCACATGGGCGACCTGCTTTATTTGAGTGACGAAAAGTATGAGAAAGGTTTTCTCTATGAGTGGTTGCGATTGTTCTGGGTAGGCTGCCCACTATTTGCGCACTTCTGTTATTATTTATTTTCTTACTTTTATTTATTTATTTCTGGTAACCTTTGCACAGATGTGGAGAGAGAGCCACACTTATTTTGCATCTCACTAATCCTACTCTTGTTCCTACCAATTTTTATAACATTAATTAGATGGGTTTTTTATTTCTTTTTTAACAAGATCATATTTTCAAATTATCTCTAATGGTAAGATGGAAATACTATGAAGGCCGAAGTGAAAAGTTAACAGTATTATATTTCTGGTATTATGACATTCTTAGATTTTTATTTATTTTTACCAGAATTGATAACTGGAGAGGCTTGTAAAACCACAGAATAAACATATGCTTCATTTTATAAAGAGTGTTGTTAATGTTATTTCCCATCAAACAAACATCAAAACAAAACAAAACAGGTATTACTGATTAAAATGTGTGCAGATTTGTTGACATATATATTGATTCAAAATATGTGGAATTAACAGTGATAATTACAGAGGTAAAATCATTCTTATCATTTTAAAAACTTGTGAACTGACATTGGGAAATTAAATAGTTAATATAAAGAGGAAAGTCTGACTAAAATAGCCTTTTAAAATATTTATTAAAATTCCTTCTTTATGGATCTTGTCATAAGCTTGGTGTGCCTCACATCTTAGAAAAGACAGTTTAAATGATAAACCATATTGAAATATGCTTACTTATTGAGTAGAAACAATTTTGGAAAATATACATTTAATTCTCATCAGCATTTATTTGCTTTTCTGTACCAAAATCATGGTAGTAGGCAACGGTGTCTTGACGTGGACTGCATCTAAGGTGACTAGAGTTGCCACATGAATAATTTAAACCTTTCTTGAAGACAAAAACATTTCTAAATATTCTATAACTTGGAAAAACAGGGGTAAAGTTTTAGGTAGTCACTCAACTAAACCACATGAGAATAATGTATAATAGCAGAGGACATTTATTCTTGTGCTTGACAAAGGAAATAGCACATCAGAGTAGCTAGAGAAGGAAAGTTCTTTGGGGGAAGCACCTTTGAGATTGTGGATGTGGAGTGGACCAGCACTTGGGTACTTGAAATATGGCAAATAATGCATCCCAGGGTGGAGAGCAGACCACTGCAACCTAGATACAGAGGGCTTCCTTGTCTCGTTGACAAAGGTAGATGTTGTTGGTACTGATGAGTCTAATGAGGCAGTTTTGTCCAAATTACCAAAGAATTCATAATTATTCCCATATTACTCTGGAAAGAGAAGGAAAAAAAGGTTTTCACGAAAAACGTTTAATCAGATCTGCACGCTGTAAGAAACTACCCACTCTAAATAAGACAGTGTTATCTGCTATTGCTTCTGAATTTTATTAAAAAAATCCATCAGACAAAAAAAATTTCTAAATTATTGAGTTTGAATTTTCTTGACAATTATACAGTCATATCACTGTCTAAATGTTGCCATCTAAATACCTTTTTAGGCTGTGAGCCACCATAGGCAGTTTATTCAATAAATGGGGATCCTGTCAAATATTAAGAAATCTGTCCCTGAGGTCATTCACTGGCTCCTTCTTTTCCCAACAGATGACCTCATTGTGTTTTAGACAATTAGATTATTTCAGCTAATTTATTTTGATTTTACTGTCAGGAAAATGGGTTGCTATATCAACTGACCACTGAAAGGAATATTTACCAAAGACAATTAATTAAGATATATGGTTTAAAGGGTGATTTGATAGTTTAAATGAAAAGATTGAATTAACTTCACTGTAATATTGTGTATACCTGTGATCCATGTGTCTAAGATCACTTCATCTCTATAATTCAGGCAAAAATATCTATTTTCAACAAAAGACAAACCAAAAGTAAGTAGGACTAGGTGCGCATGACCCCAGCCATGGTTTTTGCAAATGCCTCATATGCCTGTGAAAGTTAGACATTGAGTAAGGAAGACCAGAGAAGAATCTATGCATTTGAATTATGGTGCTACAGAAGAATATTGAAGGTACTATAAACTGCCAAAAGGAGTTTGGAAGATCTTAGAAGATCTGTAGATGAAATAGAGCCAACACACTTCTTAAGGCAGTTAGACTTTATGTCACTTCTTTAAGTCATGCTGTGAGCAGACGGACATCATGCTTGGCCTGACTTGAAATGCTCTATGTGTGACATCAAGGTTCTTCACATCCCTTGACTATATTCAGAGGGGATTCACTGGAGGTTCAATCCATGTGGGGACCCTGCAAATGGAGTTTGGTCTTTCAGTGCTATCCATAACCTTCAGAAAGCTGAATTTTCAAAATGTAAGTTCTGATACTGCTCCCTGCCTCAGATTTAGGTTATTATTTTTACATTTACAATCCTTGGACAATACAAGCTAGTGTGTTTCTTCCATATGGACTTAGTTCATGTTTCACTCAGATGACTCCTTGTTTAAAGCTGCTCTTTAAGACCCTAGATGCTATTCTATTTGATAGCTGGACAGCATTTGATTTCTTCACCACACTTTGCTATAGCACACATATGATAAGTGATCTTTACATGAAGGCAAATATCATGTAGGGCCACATCAAAAGGACTACTTATTAGATGAGCCTAGAATTAAGTGTAAGTCCAATATCCATTCATGCATACACTTGTGCTTTGTATGTGTCTCTGGTTCATTTTAGAATGATCTTTATCATTTTATGATAGAGCTTACATTATAATTCATCCCAACGGGGTATAAAGTAATTCTAATTATAGTGTCATTAATTTGACCAGTGGTGTAGAATTTTAAACACTATTGAGAAAAGGAAACTATACAAGTGTAGGCCAGCTTCAGGCCACAATATCTGAATTGTTGACATATACAGATTAAAATGTTTAGTGACTGCACACTATTTACATTAACAATGGAGGTTGGTGATCTGACAAATCTTCTAATAACACTCATTCACACAGGCAGAACCATGCCTACAGGATCAATACTTGTCATAAGAAAGCAAGTAGGACATTAAAACAGTCAATCAATTATAGTCCCAAGCCACCATTCCTTAGGCACCCACAAAGCAAGAGATTCGAACCAAAGCCCAAAGGCCACTAATTCCACAACCTTGCCATCTGCCTCTGCTCACACTAGAGCATTTCAGACTTAACTGCAAGGGAGTCTGTCCATTCTTTAGATCTGCTACCAGTGAGTTTGAAAAAAGCCAAGTTTGATTCATGGGGTTTTCACATCTAATCTTTCTGGTGTGGTCTATGAAGGATGTTGTGTGCCTCTAAAGGATAGAGTCTAAAGTCACATTTGTCTTTAGCACATGGCCTGGACTACCCAGGGTTGTATAGAAACTAAATAAAATGTGTCCACATAGGAACATGGTACCAGGCAGGTTCTCCCGTTGGGTTCTATATAAATACTGTTAGCATTTTTTCCGGATGGGAGGTTATTTCATCCAGTTTACCAACTATCAACAGTGTACTCATCTTCTCTGAGACATACATGTCCATCTCCCCAATCTTGACTTGACTTTCCAGTAAAATGTGCTTATTCACATGGGGAGGCTTTGGGGTGACCTTAGCATAATGTTGTATGGAAGCAAGTTAATGGTCTTCACTCTCTCCATCCATCTTGAAAGACTGACTCCGAAAGGTGAGCTCTCATCTGTCCAAGGGGTTTTGCAGATGTCCACATAGAGAGAGGGAGCCATGGCACAAGGGCACTAGGCAGACTCGAGCTCTTGCTGTGAGGCAGGATGAGAAGATTACAGGAGCTGAAAACAAAAGCCTGGCTTCTGCTTGGTGTTTAATTCTTATAGTATTAGGTTCTTGAAATATCTGTCCTTTTGTTATTGATTAGCTTCACTCAGCATAATGGTTTTCAGATTCCTCCATGTCATAGTGTTTCATCACTTTCTTTTTAAGGATGCAGAATATTCTAGTGTCTGTATGTACCATTCTTAAACTTATGGGCATATTGAGCTGTTTCCAGCATCTCTCTGTTGTGAACTATGCTGCAATGAACATGGGAGAGCATACATCTGTTAGTGTTTTGTGTTCTTTCTCATTTTGGGGGGGTGTACATGTCCAGCAAAGTTATTACTGGGCTGTAAGGTATTCCTGTTCCCAATTGTTTTAGGCAGCATGATCTCACTTTCCACAATGGTGGGGCCTATGTACGAGCCCCCAGCAGTGTATGAGTTCCAATCACTCCACACCATCTCCAGCATTTGTTTTCTTTTCTGCTTTTTTTCATTGAACTATCATTGTGGGTGTAAGGAAAAATCTCATTGTTGCATAAATTTGCATCCCCTTGATGACTTGTGATTGTGATCATTTCTTCGTCTGTTTGTTAGTTATTCTAGAGTCAATCTTTGTGGATTGTCTAGTCATATCTTTGGCCAATCTTATAATTGGATCATTTGTTTTCTCATATTGGGGTGTTGAATAATTCTGTTGTTGTTGTTAGATGCCATTGAGTCAGGTCCAAATCTGAGTGGCCCCATGTACAGTAGAACAAAGCCCGGCTCACTTCTCTTATCCTCACAGTTTCTTATGTTTGAGCCCATTTTTGCATCAATGGATCTCCTTGAAGGCCTTCCTCATTTCCCTTTCCCCTCCGCATTGATAAGCATAATGTCCATCTATGTCAATCTCAAGGGACTGGGCTCTCCTGGTAAAACTTTCAAAGTATGTGAAAGAAAGTCTTACCATCCTTGCCTCTAAGGTGCACGCTGGCTATACTTGTTCCAACATAAATGTGTTTGTTCTTTTGACAGTCCATGGTGCTTTAAATATTCTTTGTCAACACCTCAGTTCAAATGCATCAATTTTTCTTCTTTATTTATTTATTTAATGTCCAACTTTCACATGCATATTAAGCAACTGAAAATACCATGGCTTGGGTCAGGTATACCTCATTCCTCAAAGCAGTATCCTTGATTTTCAACACTGTACAGAAATCTTGGGTAGCAGATTAACTCAATGAATCACTTGATTTCTTGACTACTGCATCCTTGAGCATTGATTGTGGTTCCAATCTCTGACCAGTTCAATCTTTTCTCATTTAATCATGATGTTACCCATTGGTT